CTAAGCAAATAATCAGAAAGGCTGGATTATATGAACATCATGACATCAGGATCAGATAAAGCCTCATTAAGAACCTGGGATATGCACATGGCACAACCTTACTTGCTGAAAATAAAGAAGATTTGAAACACTTACTGACGAAGATCAAAGACTACAGCCTTCAGCATGAATTACAACTCAACACAAAGAAAACAAAAATCCTCAAAATTGGACCAATAAGCAACATTTTGATAAATGGAGAAAAAACTGAAGTTGTCAAATACTTCATTTTACTTGGATCCACAATCAACATCCATGGAAGCAGCAGTGAAGAATCAAACAACATATTACATTGGGCAAATCTCCTGCAAAAGACCTCTTTAAAGTATTTAAAAGAACCAGATTTGTTTAAGAGCAAAGATGTGACTTTGAAGACTAAGGTGCATCTGACCCAAGACATGGTGTTTTCAGTAGCTTCATATGCACGTGAGAGCTGGACAGTGAATAAGGAAGTCTGCAGAAGAACTGATGCTTTTGAATTATGGTGTTGACAACAAATACTGAAAGTACCACGGACTGCTAAAAGAACGAACAAATCTTTCTTGGAGAAGTATGGCCCGAATGTTCTTTAAAAGACAGAATGGCCAGGCTTCATCTGTCATACTTTGATCATGTCGTTGTTGTTGTTGTTATGTGCCGTCGAGTCAGCCCCGACTCATAGCGACCCCTCCTTGGGTTTCCGAGGCAGTATCACTAAGGAAGCAGGATTGCCCAACCTTCCTTCCGAGGAGTGGCTGGTGGGTTTGAACCGCCAGCCTTCTGGTTAGCAGGCAAGTGTCTTAGCCACTATGCTACCAGAGCTCCCGATCATGTCATTAGAAGGGACTAGTCCCTGGAGAAGGATATTATGCTGCATGAAGTGGAGGGTCAGTGTAAAGGGGGAAGATTCCCAATGACATGGACTGACACAGCACCTGCAAGAATGGGCTCAAGTTTAGTAACAATTCTGAGATGTCACAGGACCAGACAGTATTTTGTTCTATTATACATAGGGTTACCATGAGTCGGGACTGATTCGACAGCACCTAACAACAATAGTCAAAATGTTACCCTGATTTGCAAATCATATATTAAATAAATAATTTATAATTATTAGCTTAATATGATAATGTTATATATTATTCAACAACCTGCCTTTTTAATGTAACAATATATTTGAGACATTGTCATGTTGGTTCATAAACAGCAGCATCATTTAAAAAAAAAAATACAGAAGTGTTCTTTACAGAAAATTTGGGGGTTGCTAAAAAAATGAGAAAGCACTAACTTCATTCAAATAAAACTTGGGTTTAAATCCCTGATAGAAGGAAAGGGGCCAACAGCAGAAGCCTAGTATGAAAATTCACTCCAGTCACTACTGGCTCTCACATGACAAGGAGACACCTAATGTGGAATTTATGAACTCACTGGTATGAACTTGTTCACCAAACTGAGGAAGGCAGATTCTGGATTGCAGTATGTGATTAGTAAATGGCTAAAAAGAACCCAAAATAAACTAGCAAATATTTCTAACATATATAAACTGAGGACTATCCTTAACATATAAAGGAAGATTATATTTTTTAGGAAAAAGAAAAATATCCCAGGAGAATAATAAGCAAAGGATTTGTGTACATCACAAAATATTTATAAAAGGTCAAAGACTATGAAAAAAAATTTCAACTTCATTAGTATTCAAAGAAGTAATATTTGAAACAATGGCATAATTTTTTAAAATCTGTTAGACAAGCTAAGATTAAAGAGATGGATAACACTCATAACTGGTGAGGGCAAAGAACAGGGAGTATAAATTGGTATAATCCCTAGTGGTGGGATTTTTCAATATTAGCATTTTCAGTATTAGCAATTAAAGAAAAAATGAACTTAGAAGTTTATAAGTCATGATGTTACTGCCATTAATAAAATTTCCAAGTAAACATTCTATAAATATATATATATACATATATATACATGTGTATACATGTGTACATACTTAAAATATTACTACCTGCTCTACTTCAGGGACTTATCTTTCTGCCTCACATCTTTCTTCTACATTGTACTGATTCTCCAAAAATGAAAGTCATTCTCTTGCTTGAAACCCTTCATTAGGTTCCATTTCCAACAAAGTAGAGGCTCTTTGCATAGCATCAAAGCCTCCAATGTCTGACCCTGTCCACCTCTTCATCTATGTCATGCCTCACACTTTTGGTTCAAGCTCCACATGATGCTTTGTAGCTTCTTGCCATGCCTCTCCACTCATTAATTTGCCTGGAATAACTAAACCTCTTTACCCACCAATAGGGTACTCTTTGCTGTATAGGACCTTGGGCTTACTACCATTATTTCATTTACCACAGAGCCTTGAAATCCTACATATCTCCTGGTTTAGAATTTAAGCTACAGGCCAAGGTCTGTCTTATTAATTTTTGTATCCACTGGATACACACAGTGCTTGCCTGGTGTAGTTTTGTTCATTTGCTGTTTTGCTAGTTCTGGCACTTAGTTTCATTTTCATTTGTTTTTTTTTTTTTTGAAAGGTTCATTACTGAGTTTAGAAAAGTGTTAGTGATTATGCATATTGTATCACATTAGAACCTAAGTATCTTATCAGCTATACTTTCTCTAAAAACCAAAGTTCATCCCATGAATATTAGAAACTGATTACAGATCCAAACTGAATTTATAAATAAATAAATCAGAATCAATCATCTACCACCACTGTTCTGTTGAAAAGACAAATAGCTTTGACGGCAAAGTTCACAGGTTCTTCCAAAACATAGGAACAGATTTCCAGAAACATATGCAGTGAAGCGAAAAGAGGAGAGGGAGAAAAGAAGAGGAAAAGTAGGAGAGAGGAAAGGATTAGAAGTTAGGAATCCTGGATACCATGTGAATTTTTAAAATACAACTTTGGCTTTAGCTTGTAAATGTTGCGATTTGGGGGACTCAACTCTATCTCCAGTAGGTGGCACAGAATCACCTTTACCTTTACAGAAAACTCTTTCAGATCAAATAATGAGTACTTAGCTAATGACCAAAAAAGGTTAACATCTACATAATACACATAGCCCTTTTCCCCATATTAAGCTTTCAACCAAAAGGGAAAGCATGTTTCTAAGGCAGCATGTAAAGGTACTGACAGCAAATTAATAAATAAAGCAGCACACTAGGAATACTGGAGAGATAATGCCATTTAGTACTCACAAAAATGCCTCATTTTATCCAGGTAACTAGATATATTTAATATCTTTTCAAAATTGACATATTTTATTCCTATCAAAATTTTTAAATACAACCCAAGACAAAAATTTACCTTTTGCTGTTGGTGTTGCGTGCCATCAAGTTGATTTTCACCTTGTAAGTGACCCCGTGACACAGTGAACTGCCCCATAGGATCTTCTAGGCTCTAATCTTTACGGGAGCACATCGCCAGGGCCTTCTTCCAAATAGCCACTGGTGGGTTCAAACTGTCAACCTCTTTCAGTTAAAAGTCAACCACATCATTGGGCCACCAGGCATATGGGAGTTCAGTTTGTGTGTCAACTTGGCTGGGCCTGGCTGGGCAGCTGGATGTAGTATTCCCCATGATGAGACTGGTAATCATCTCCATGGTGGAATATACTGTGAGCAGCTGAATAGCTAGCTGCCTTAGGGATGTGGTCTGTTTCCTGTATAAAAGGAGAAGCCTTGGAGAATAGTCTCTAGCTTATGGCACACTTGAACTCTGCATGTAGCTGTTTCATTGTACAGCTGCCTGCCACGCTCTGCCAACCTCGGGACTTTCAATGGACTTAAATTAATGGTCTGCCGTGTGGTTTGGTAACATCTGGACTGTGCCTTTTTACTTGTCAACCTTGGGTTTGTCAGTCTCAGCACTCAGCAGCTGTCTGAGTAAAGAAAAGCCTCCAGCTATAGTGGGCTGGAAGCAGGAGGCAGAGCTGAAGTCCAAGGTTGAGGGGCTTCCACCCAGCCCCTAGAGCCTGGCACTCTGAACTTGGACTTAAAGCCTCCAAATTGTAAGAGAATAAACTCCTGTTTGTTAAGGCCATCCCATTTGTGGTCTATTCTTGCCAGAGTGGCACTAGGTAACCAAAACAACAGATTTTAAGTCACAGAATAGTCATTTTTCCATAACTGAACTTGCTGACCCAACAAAGGTGAAATAAATACTGAAATACATAGCAACTTGTAAAGAAGAGCAAAAGAGAGAGAGAGTTGTCAATTCTTCTCTGAATTCTTCAGCCATTGCCAACAGAAAGTTCTGCCAACATATAGGTGACACGGTTTAGTCTAACACCAACCTACATAATTTCCATATTTTATTTCTGGAGAATGGAAAGCTGTAGGAGTTTACATAGTAAATCACCTAATGAGATTCTTAGTGAGGCATTCTCTACAAAAATTACCTGGGCCAAGCTGTCATCCAAAACATACAAAATACATGATAAGTTTCTGTGGAAAAACACATATTAACTATACAAAATAGTAACTCTCAGCAGTTTAAACGTAGGAAGAACTGAATTGATCAAAACCCGGTTTCAAACAGATTGTCATGGTCAGATTTCCTCCATAAGTAGCCAAATTGTTACAGGATTCTAAAACATGGGGTCACTATAAGTCAAAATCAACTCAACTGCAATGGGTCCTGAAGTCATGTGGAAAAAGTGTTCACCATGGAGAGACAATTAAACTATATCTCTTATCTTAGGACAAACCAAGGAGTTAAATCATTTAAAAATGTGCAAACAGGTATTTTCTTCAAGTTAATAAAGTTTCTTCAAAGTGCCTTTAAAATGATCCACAAGTCCTATACACTAAATAGCCACATGGGTGAGAACCAAATTCAGGTTTCCAACATAAACTGTAAAAGGTTATTTAGCAAAAGCTGCAGCTCCCTGTGGCAGCTTGTCAGGCAGTCAAACAGTCTTAAATTTCTCTGCATTCTTCTTCAACTGCTGAGGTGACTTTGAGCATCTCACATTCTATCTGGCTGAGAGCCCAGGTCAGAGGAAGTGAAAGTCAACAATCGCTTACTCAACAGTGCGTTGTGTCGTTTCAGGTATACTATTATGTCTCCTTGCTTTTCAACAATTTCTTCTAGGCTCGAAATAGTCCTGCAAATCATCAAGATATGAATAGGTTACACATATTCACCAGTACTCACTAATCTCTTTGCACATGGGTCCACACTAATTATCAATACAGTACCTTGTATTTGTAACTTTTTCTTAGATGTTATAAACTAGGGTAATATTCCAAAAAGAAGTTCCTTCATGACCCATGTTTATGACTTCCACATTTATAAGAAATCTATAAATTTCAATTTGAAACTAGTAAGAATTACACGACTCCAATACTACAAAAGACCATACCACTTTTTATAAGCATACTAATTTGTTAGTGATCAATTTAAATGGCATTTGGAGAGATAAGAAAAAGCTCATTGAATAATTAAGTGATGATCTATCATTATAACAGATGACTCTGACCATGAAAAGCATTTTAAAAGCATGCATAGTTTTTACTTGTTTTTGCATTATGAAACAAATTAAAATAGTACAAAAATGTATAAAATATCTCTCTTAATTCCTTCCCACACCACGCACACAGCTCACTCTGGTGATACTCAAAAGTATCTATAAATTGCCTTGAACTTCCTTCCATTAATCTGGTATAAAGAACAATGATAACAGTAATTTAAAAACTAATTGATGATAATAAAAACAAAAAAGTACCATATTAATTTTGAATGTTGTGACTATAAATTGTCTATTCAAAAAAAGTGCTAAAGAAATATTTTTTCTTATATAACTATGTATCTTAAAGTGGAAATATTTTCTAGGTGAAGAATATTATGCATAGAATGATGGCCCTATGTGAACAAGAACAAAATACTTAAATAGTTATGCTTATTAATATAATATATATTAATATATAATATAATATAAAATAACTAATATAATAGTTATAAGTACGGACTTTGGAAACAGAATGCCTGAATTCTAGTTCTGACTCTGCCACTCACAGGCTGCATGACCATAATATATCATCTAAACTCTGGGCTTTTGAGAGTAACGTTTGCTACTATAACAACAATCATTAGCACTTATTATATGTCAAGACCTTGGAATTACCCTTTTTTTCTAAGCTAGGTTACTTATTGATGAAGTATGAATGTTTTCAGGTTACCTTGAAGGAACTGGGGTAGGGTATGCCACGTGTGATGTCAACTCCCGTATAACCAAAAAACCAAACTCACTGCCATCAAGTTGATTCGACTCAGAGCGACCCCTCTCTGGGTTTCCAAGGCGGGATTGCTACAGAAGTAGATTGCCCAATCTTTCTTCCAAGGAGTGGCTGGTGGGTTTGAACCGCCAGCCTCCTGGTTAGCAGTCAAATGTGTTAGGCACTACACCACTTCTATAGGCTGACAATTATTTTCCCTGTTCCCTGCTCCCTCACTCTCAAGAGCATTCTGCTTATTTCTTAATTCCAAACCCCTCCAGTAATGGCTACTTCCATGGCTCTATGAGAATTATCTTTAATCTCGGTATAGCATCTTTTTCATAATTAGTTAACATTTTTAGTTTTCAGAGCTCCTTGTGGGCCTTATATCATGTGCAGAGCCCCATATTAGCTTACAGTTTTCTTTCTAGTCTTCCTAGAAAGTTGTTCTTAAACTTAATGCCTGGCTCTGGTGATACTTTGACAACTAAGTGAGGATAGTTAGGGATTTAGTCTAGTTGGAATTTGTCATTGGTAGACAGTTTTCTTTTTTTTTTTAAAAAAAAAAAAAAAAACCATATATAGGATGTTAGGAATAGGTAAGTAAGGAGAAGGTGAGATTGACTTTAAGGTAGGTAATACATGTTTGAAACTTGGGAAAATTTTTATTTTTTTATGATTTTTTTTTGTGAAACTTGGGAAAATTTTTAATAAGGTATTATTTACATACTTGAGATTTAAAAATTTTCTTGTTTCTGATATTCTTAATTTTTTTTCTTTATTTGATTTATATAGTTTTTGCCACTATACACATTGTTTTAAGACAAGTAGCTCTGTAATTACTGCTTAGTAAGGGGCTCTGGTAGCATAATGGCTAAGGCACTTGACTGCTAACCAGAAGGCTGACGGTTCAAACCCACCAGCCACTCCTCAGAAGGAAGGTTGGGCAATCTACTTCTGTAGTGATACTGCCTCAGAAACCCAAGGAGGGGTCGCTATGAGTCAGATCTGACTCAATGGCACATAATAACAACAACCACATTTCTCAGTGTTCTCCAGGATGCAGCCTCCTCTGACCATTGTATCATTCATCACTCTCCCATGTGGGTTCCTTAGTCTGAACATTTTTAAAGATTACCTATCCACTAATGGATCCTCTCACTTCCAGTTTCTCTGTTAGTGTGCACACTGTGGCCTTTTTTATTGCTTCCCAATTTTTTATTGGGATTTTGGGAGGGTGAAGAGGTAAACAAGTGTCGTTTGGGCCACTTTCTTTAAATGGGAGTACATTAAAGATTTCAAACTAAGATGTATATTCAAAGAGGTATTTCATAAAAATCTTAAGAGATTAAAGGAAAAATATGAAATAAACCTGAATTTTAATGCTCCACTATTAACACCATGAAGTAAAATACATTTTAAAGCTGTCCATTAAGTAACTGAAGTTGTCAAAGATTTCATATTACTTGGTTCCACAATCAACACCACTAGAAGCAGCAGTCAAGATACCAGAGATTGTATTGCACTGGGCAAATCTGCTGCAAAAGATCTCTTTCAAGTGCTGAAGAGCAAAGATGTCTCTCTGAACACTAAAGTGCACCTAACCCGAACAAAAACTAAAACCAAACTCACTGCCATCAAGTCAAACCTGACTCACAGCAACTCCTCCTTGGGTTTCCGAGGCGGTATCACCATGGAAGGAGATTGCCTAACGTTCCTTCCAAGGAGTGGCTGGTTGGTTTGAACCACCAAGCCATTGTATTTTCAATCACCTCATATGCATATGAAAGCTGGACAATGAATAAGGAAGACTGAAGAAGAGTGATGCTTTTGAGTTATGGTATTGGCAAAGAAAACTGAAAGTACCATGGACTGCCAAAAGAATGAACAAATCTGTCCTGGAAGAAGTGCAGCTGGGATTCTTCTCAGAAGGGAGAATGGCCAGACTCTGTCTTACCTACTTTGGTCATGTGGTCATGTTGTCATAAGGAACCATTCCCTGGAGAAGGAGATCATGCTTGGTAAAGTGGAGGGTCAAAGAAAAAGGGGAAGGCCCTCAACAAGATGGATTGACACAGTGGCTGCAATGATGGGCTCAGATATAGCAAGGATTGTGAGACTAGTACAGGACCGGGCAGTATTTTATTCTGTTGTACATAGGATCGCTATGAGTCAGAGCCGACTTGACAACACCAAACAACAAATAAGTAATAAGAAAACATTATTAAATAAAATGTTCAGTGCCTAGTGCTTCCCAACAAGAAAATGAAATATGAAAAGTGCCAAGGTCAAGATGAATAATCTCTGAATTTAATAAACTAAAAAGTTAGAATCAAGTACTGATACTAAGGGAGATCTGGTAGCATAGTGCCTAAAGCACTTGACTGCTAATCAGAAGGGTGGCAGTTCAAACCCACCAGCCACTCCTCGAAGAAAGGTTGGACAATCTACTTCAGTAGTGGTATTGCCTCAGAAACCCAAGGAGGGGTCGCTATGAGTCAGGTCCAACTCGAAGGCACATAACACAACAACAACACTGACATTAAAATTATTCCTAAACAGGTAGCTGCCAATTTATGATGGGGTTCTGTTCCAACGACTCCACGGTAAGTCAGTTCTGACATAAGTCAAATATCTCTTTTTTTTGTTTTGTTTTCATTATTATTGCCTTTTATTATCCATATCTTCATAAATCTGCCCCTAGTCTTTAGGGCTTAGAAAGATTACATATAAACTTACAGGCATATTTTAATACATACATGTATCCATTAAAAAATACACAAATCATAAAAACTTACTCCAACCTTGAAGAAGAGTTGGAAGATATTGGTATTTTATCAGCTGCAGAAACGCCACTTGTGGAAGGTTCTGGATCGTTTGGATTTTCCATGAATGGCATGGTGTTCCTAGTCAGAAAATTACTGAGAGTTGTCTGTATGGTCCTTTTCTTTCTTTTCTTCACATATTTTCTGATAATATCTCATTGCTTTCCAATCTGCCTATCATCGTCTTTAGCAAAGAAATCAACATTTGGGTCTATGTTTTCAAGTGACTAAAGCTCCTGATTTAGTTTAGAAAAAACTTTAATCTTTTCACTGTAAAATTTTTTTACTTCTCTCCTTCCTCCTCCTCATTATTTCTTTCTTCTTCAGCATTTCTGTATTCTTCAAAGCCCATTAAGTCCTGGTCTGTCAATTCTCCTTCTTCATGACCTATACCTGCGATTGGAGGTATCAAGTTCTATTTCTACAGTTTGCCACATAGATGATTTTTCCACCAATCTGATGAATCGTATTATCCTGATCAATGCTTGGAGCATCGTCACATAACTCAGCAAATTTTTCCATATCCCTGCATGCATCAAATTCACCTCTTTGTAAGTATAGGTCTGTTCTGGCATCCTTTTCCAAAACAAGCCTGCTTCATCTATGCTGAAAAACTGCTCTGGTTAATAGTCTTCATCTTGTATTATTTTTTATCACTGAGTTTTTCAGCAGCTTCAACACTGGCATTTCCTGCTTCTCCAGTTATGCACCTATTATGTAAGCCAAATCTGCATCTGAAACAATGAAGGGAGCCCTTACTGGCATTAAAGTACTTGTAGTAGTCATCCCTTTGCTATTGCTGTGTGCTTTCATGGGAACTGTCAGTAAACGCATTGGATTCCTCTTCTGGATTTGGCCTTCTATTCAAATCATCAACATCTTCTCCATCTAGTGGATGGACCCTTGCCTCATCATTGTTGAAATTGTCAATTTTACATTGAGTAAGGTCACACTGTAAGCCTGGTCTACAATGAAGTCAGCAGTGTCAGTGTTGTAACAGTGAAGTCTGAGTCGTAAAGGCTGTCAGGTATATTTATAGTTTAGTAGTGTATGTTGTCAGAGTTGAACAATGCCCAACTTTCTATCTGTCATACTCTCAACACCAAGTTCATTTAGACCAGCCCATAGCCTGCTACATGGCAGTATTTTGAACAGTGAATCATAAAAATTGATTATCTGTGAATGAACATCTGAGAATGATAGCATCAGCAAATGACATGTTGCAACACTGTATGTAGTATATATTACTAATGATAAGATGTACCAAAAAAAACAGACAGTGGTGTGGTTCATTGCAACTTGAGTACACCATAAGTTAGAGACTACCTATATTCAGAATGGAATGAATTAAAAAAGAGTAAACAAAATAAAAATATAAATCATAATAGTGAAAACTGACAAAGTGTATACATTTTTTACTGATTAAAAAATCCACTTTACTAAGCAGCACACCTTCAGCTTTCTATGAGTTCTGTACATCTTGAGAGTCAAACAGTATAATCTAGCTTCAAGAAACTGATAGCAAAGTATTCTGGAACTATCAACAAGTCACACAATCCCAAGATGAAGAACCTTGGACTTGTCTCTTATTAAATATTTGTATCACACACTGTAATGAAAATCAACATGCTTCCTCATAGCCAACACTGTTCAGAGATCTGGCTTTCTAATCATTTACCACTTTTTAACTGTGCCTAACAGCAGTTCAGTTTTCCAAGAGGCATTTCAAAATAATACCCATTATTAAATGTTAATAAACTGACTATGTTAATTTCAAATGTAAAAAGTGCCCCTTTTTTCATCTGTACAAAATCCCAAACCTACTGTCATAGGACAGAGTAGAAATGCCCTATAGGGTTTCCATGGGTGTTAATCTTTACGGAAGCAGACTGCCACTTCTTTCTCCTGAGGAGCAGCTGGTGAGTTCAAACCACCAACCTTTCGGTTAGCAGTTGAATCCTTTAACCACTGCATCACCAAAGCTCCTTTTTCATCTATAGTTTTTTTTTTTTTTTTTTTAACTAGTAAACTAGTATTGATACCAAGTCAATTTCTCAAGCCCATTAAAAAAAACACTAAACTCTAATCCCTTGTAAACTAAAGTCAAAGTCAGATGAGTTAATGAGTAAATTGGGCTCCGGATTATTTAAACCCAATGACTGGATAAGAATAATGAGCTCTGGTAGCATAGTGCCTAAGACACTTGACTGTTAACCAGAAGGCTGGCAGTTCAAACCCACCAGCCACTCCTCAGAAGGAAGATGGGGAAATCTACTTCCATAGTGACACTGCCTCAGAAACCCAAGGAGGGGTCGCTATGAGTCGGGTCTGACTCGACAGCACATAACAACAACAACAACATGGCAAAGTAGAGAAAGAAGAGGTCCTACGTCTGAGCTGTGGGTACACCCAACCTTTAGGAATCGGGAAGGGAAAGAGGAGTAAGCCAAGGAAACTGAAAAAAGAGTGGCAAGTGAGAGAAGGAGAAAACAAGGGAAGTGTCTCAAAGCACCAGCAAACATGTTTCAAGAAATGGCAGTGGTTAAGTATGTCTAACATCATTCAGAGGCCAAATACAAGAACTCAGAGTCAGTTCACACTGGCTTTGGCAAAGTAGAGGTCAATGGTATAGATACTGCTAGGTGGAGATGGACTGAAGAGGGCCAAGATGAAGCAAGGAGACCAGTAGGTATACTCTTGTTCATCCAAGGAAGAGACAGTGAGCAGTGGCTGGCTTCAGGAGTATTTTGGGGACAGATCCAACAGGACTTGCTGATGGATTATTAGGGGTGACTAGGTGTGGGGCGAGGGAAACAGAAGCCAAGGATGATGCCTAACTTTCTAGCCTATGCAACCACTGGATGGTGGTGCTACTTACCAAGATAGGGGAGGATATGGATTGGGATAGGAAGAGGCCTCTGTTTTGGACATGTTAAGTGTGAGATATTTATTTTACATATCCACGTAGAGATGTGATGGCCAGTGAGACAGCCAGATATACACATCTAGACCCTGAGGGAAAAGTCAGAACTAGAGTTACAGGCTTGGGAGACATCAGTATATTTATGTGATCTATTTATTCATCTATAATCTCTTAATTCTCACATGTACTTTAAAAAAAAAAAAAGTTAACTATTTCTAACTACACCATGCCCACAATGAAAAACAGCAGTCCCCTTTCTCCTTTTCACTATCCTCCACCACCTCTATGTACAAACTTCTATTTTCCCTGGGGTTGATAATTGCCTCATTTTTTGTATTTGCATTGTTTTTTTGTGACTTTTCTATCCGCAAGTTCCCCAACAAATATGGCTGACATTTAATTATATGGAGACTCTGTAGATAGAAACAGATAGAGGGTAGAGAGGGGGATAGGTTCTTTGGTACTTTAGTATTTGGAAGCTCAGTCAGAAAAGAAAAGGTGGCCAAAGGAGAAAAACCAGGAGAGTACAGTGTTATAAAAGCCTACTAAAAATATATTTCAAGAAGGAAGGTGTAACCAACAGTGTCAAAAGCTTCTGAGAGCCTGCGTAAGACTTTAATCTTACTTTTTGTCAGGTACACTGATTTAGGCTTCATTTCACCAAAACTAAAAGGAAGTAAACAAATCAAACATAATTATAATGTATACCTAAGTATAGTCTAAACTCCAAGCATTAGAATGGTTTCTAGATTTCTGGGGGAGGGAGGAAATGTTTAATTCTCTTTCTCCAATCTTCTTTTACTTTCCCCCACCTGAAATCTTACCTGAATCCAGTCTCTGAGTTAATATTGCTGGGGTAAGCATAGATTTTTTCTTCTTCAAGTACATCAGGCCTTGGTTTAGCTTTATTAAATTTTCGAATTTTCACTAAAATAATAAAGTCATTATTAGTCAGATTATCTAATTACAAAAAAAATTCTGTTTCCAATTATTCAAACTACATTAATTGGTTGTTCTTTTCAAATAAAGCTGTAGCATAAAATTACTTCATAAATGAATAAGCAGATAGTTATCATATCTGTTTATTAATGTTTATTTATCATTGGAATCCTGTTATGTGCCAGGACTTTTGACTTAGCATTAAGACTGACCAGATAATGAGGTAGGAGGTGAAAATAGGAAAGCAGAGAGTTTAGGGCAAGTGAAGAAGATATTTTAATAACAAGGGAATGATTGACTGTGTCAAATGCCACTGAAAGACTGAAGAATATTAGAGCTGAAGAATGACTGCTATATGAACTGCTCGTGAACTGGACATGACATGTTTCTGTTCACATATTATCTCCCTAAAATAGTGTCTTCCATATAATAATTTCTAAATAAATGAAGAAATTTAGAGTACATTAATCTTATATACATAGATATTTCTTGGACTGGAAAGAGAAGATAATAGTTATACAGTATTAAAGTAAAAGTGAAGAATTAGAAATAAAAGACATACCTATAGTCTGACAATATAAAAATGACTATCTTTAAGACTCATCTTTGAAATTTCAAAAATAAATTAAAATGGATGAACTCAGCATTTTTAAGACTGCAGGTCAGGCAATAATAACAACTCATACCATGCAGAACAAGAATCCTCCACTTCTTCTTTCTACCATAAGCCAAGGAGAGCATGTACATGAGACTATCAAAACACTAAAAAGGATAGGTGGATTTGTTAATTATTTACATTTTCTTTCATTCTGTATTGAAACTCTTATAACTTCAGGGCAGCTTTACCAGGTGATGGAAAGCTGATAATTAACTGGCATTGGTTTATTGATTTATCTGCTTGTTTATAAATGAATGGAAAATCAAATTTATTAGCATGAAACTGTTTTATATTTTATTTCTCCTAGTTTTTCCCTCTAGAAGCATACATACAAATTAACCCTCAGTGAGATAAGTTGATTTTGGTTAGCTCTACTTACAATGCAAAAGATTAACTTAGAATCACTGAATCAAAGAACCATGTCTTAGAGCTACTACCAACATTATTAAAACTAGCTATTTAAAAAATATTTTTTTAGTAAAGAGAATTTAAAAAAATGCATGTATCAGGGACTAGCCTTAAATTATTTGTGACACAATGAATAAAATAATACTTGTCCCTAGAAAACCAAAACCAAAACCAAACTCACTGCTGTCAAGTCAGATCCAACTCATAGCAACGCCCTTCTTGGGTTTCCCAGGCAGAGCTCTGGTAGCATAGTGCCCAAGGCACTTGACTGCTAACCAGAAGGCTGGCAGTTCAAACCCACCAGCCACTACTCAGAAGGAAGGTTGGGCAATCTACTTCCGTAGTGATACTGCCTCATCAATCCAAGGAGGGGTCACTATGAGTAGGGTCCAACTCAACGGCAAACAACAATCACTACGGAAGTAGATTGCCCAACTTTCCTTCAGAGGAGTAACTGATGGTTTGAACCGCCAGCCTCTGGTTAGTAGTCAAATGCCTTAGGCACTAGATGTTACTCCCTAAATTCTATCCTATCAGACCCAATAGTACATTTAAAGGCACACTATAATTTTTTTTTAATACAGTTTATCAAAATATATGTACAGTAAAATACACAAGGCACACTATAATTTTGAAAGTAACCATATTATTGAGAATGTGGAGAAAAAAACAGTTACGGAAAAACTTCAGTATTTTCAGAAATTCTGCACTAAATAAACTTAAAATAATTATAATAATTGTGAATCTTTCTTATGTAAATCAGCTCTATTTATTTTACAAGCCTGAATTCCAGTTATCAGGTTTTCTTAAATTAAGGAGCTTATTAGTTTGAGCTTTAAAAAGGACAATATTTAATAGTATATTTTCTTCAAATAAAACATTTAAAAATTAATGTAAATAACTTCCCTGAGTATGAACTAAAGCAATCTAATTTAGGAATACAAAAGACTAATATAAATGCTATAAACTAAAGGATAATTCTCTCTGTTTAAATTTAGGTGTCACATAATGAACACATTTGTGCCCAAATATAAAAATCAGTTCCTCTCAGCACTCTTGGAATATTTGCTCCCTTTGCCTCATATTAAAGGGCTAGGTTTTCTTTGCCTTTTTGTTTTTAACCAGTACCTGTCTTATTTTATAGAATGATGAATTTTCCATGCAAAAAAATAAATAAATCCTTGAAAAATATTAGATTAAATCCTAGAAAAATAACTCTTAGACTACATTTTAACCATATAAATTTCCCCTTACTTAAATAATGACATTCACATCATCTTTGGAATACAACTGTAACCTCCTTATATGCCACGATGCATTATATAGGTAATAAGGAAAATACTTTTAAACAGTTATCCACCTGATACTTCTAATGAAGAAAACCTAAGAGTTATATGGGATGATATCAAAAGACACAGCGTATGTCTGGTTGGAATTCTAAAACAAGAGGAGGTAAAAAAAAAAAAAAAAAACAGAGAAACTGTCAAAGATTTGGTAGCAGAAAATTTCCCTAGTATCATGAAAGATGAAAAGATATCCATCCAAGAAGCTCAATGAACCCCACATAGGACAGATCTTAAGAGAAAGTCACCAAGACATACCATAATCAAACTTTCAAAAACCAAAGACAAAGAATCTTGAGAGCTCAGGGAAAAAAAAAAAAAAAATTACCCGAAAAAAGCAACCGATAAGACTAACCTCTAATTTCTTAGCAGAAATCATGCAAGCAAGAAGGCAACAGGATAATATGTACAAAAGCTTGAAGGAAAAGAATGGCCAACTCTCTCCCTCAAATATGATGGTGAAATTAGGACATTCCCAGACAAACAGAAATTAAGGGAATTAGTAAAAACCAGAACAACCTTACAAGAAATGCAAAAGGGAATCCTTTCAACAGAAAATCAACAATGGAAGGCAACTTAAGATTAAGACATGTGACATCACCACCCAGAAAACAAATCAGAAAAAGATCTCTCAAAAATAAAGTTAAGTTTACAAGATGGAAAATAGCACACTAGAGGAGTCAATCTATAAATGACATCAACTACAAAGCAAATACAGGGAATAAATGGTATAATTATACAAAAGTTCCATATGGAGAGGAAGTCTAGACGTTATCAACGTAGAACAGACTGTTCCAAATTGAAAGAGATAAGAATCTACTACAGGGTAACCACGAAGAAAATTAATAAGCCCTCTAACCAAAATAAGAAAGAAGAAAATCACAAGAACTTAGTAAACATAAATGAAGGAAAGGAAAACTCAGTAACAAAGTGAACTTAGCACAGAAAAATATTAGGAACAAAGAAACCATCAGTACCACAAAAAAACACCAAAGAATGACAGTAGTAAATTTATACGTATCATTAATTATACTGAATGTGAATGGATTAAATGCACCAGTCAAGAGAAAGAGTGAAAGAATAGATAAGAAAAGAAGACCCACCAATCTGTTGTCTACAGGAGACTCACCTTAGACACAAAGAGAAAAATAAATTAAAAATCAAGGGGTGAAAAAAAAAGCACTTGACTGCTAACCAGAAGGCTGGCGGTTCAAACCCACCAGCCACTCCTCGGAAGGAAGGTTGGGCAATCCTACTTCCATAGTGATACTGCCTCGGAAACCCAAGGAGGGGTCGCTATGAGTCGGGGCCGACTCGACGGCACATAACAACAACAACAACAAATGGCAACCAAAAAAGAGCAGGAGTGGCAATATTAATTCCTGATAAAATAGACTTCAAGCATAAATCCAGCATAAGGAACATGGAAGGGCATTATATGATGATGTGACAGCCCAACTGACAAAGAGGACATAACTGTAATAACAATCTAAGCACCCAGTGAAAGCTCTCCAAAATACATAAAGCGAACATTAACAAAATTGAAAGGAGAAATATTACTCTACAATAATGGTGGTAGACTTTAACACACCAATTTTGTTGAAGGACTGACAACTAGGAAAAAACACAAAAGAAGGTCTCAACAACACAATCAACCAACTTGACCTCACAGATGTACACAGAACAAGCCGCCCAACAATAACACAATACACATTCTTTTCCAGTGCATATGGATTGGTCTCCAGAATAAAATATACATTAGGCCACAAGGAAAAAAAAAAAAAACTCACTGCCATTGAGTTGATTCTGATTCAGTGATCCCTACTGGGTTCCTAAGGCTACAAATTTTTACAGAAGCAAGCCACCCAATTTTTCTTCCACAGAGCGGCTGGTAGGTTTGAAACACCAATCTTTTGGGTAGCAACCAAATGCCTTAACCACTACACAACAGAGCTCCTTAGGCCACAAGACAAGACTTCATAAATTTCAAAATGCCAAAATACTACAAAGCATCTTCTCAAATCATAAGGCTATAAATTTAGAAATCCATAAAATGAAGACCAGGGGGGAAAGCCAAATACATGGAAAATGAATAACATGCTACTCAAGAATGTGGTAACAGAATAAAATTAAAAATTCCTAGAAACAAATGAGAATGAAAATAAAACATGTCAAAACCTTTGAGATGATGAGAAAGCAGTAGAGATCAATTTATAGTCATAAATGGACACATCCTAGATAAAGATGGAATCAAAATCAACACTTCATCCCAACAACTCCAACAAGCAGAAAAAGAGCAACAGAAGAAGCCTACATTCTTCAGAAGAAAGGTAACAATAAAGATCATAGCAGAAATAAATGAAGCAGAAAACAGAAAAAAAAAAAAAAATCACAAGACTACAAGCTACTTCTTCAAAAAGATTAACAAAATTGACAAACCACTGGCAAATTTAACTAAAGAAAAGAAAAAGAAGATACAAACCACACAAATAATAAATGAAATGAGTGACACCATAACGAAAATAAAAAGGGTAACAGAATATTACGAAGAATTGTATTCTAACAAATTCAAAAACCTA